GAGGCTCGGGCATCTCGCCACCAGGTGACCCGCCTTACCACACAGCAGACATTTCGCTTGGCGTCGCTCTCCGTTCCGGTGATTCCCTTGGGGTCTTGGCCAGCTGCACGCCATCGAGTAGTGTCCAAGTTCGTTACACCGATTGCAACGGCCTTGTCCACGGGGACACGTCTCACGTCCACAGCGTCCGCAAACCACTTCTCCTTCCGTGGTACGCGTGTCAGGCCCTAGTCGGATGCGAAGAGGTGCAAGCGGTGCGCCAGCCACGTTCCCATTCGGAGTTGGAACGCCAGTACTTGGAACGTTCGTAGGGGCCACGGCGCCAACGAACCCTTGTGACGCTCCAGGATTCTGCTGCTGCTTCAGCATGAACTGGTTCATTTGTTGAAGCTGCTGGAGCATCTGCGACTGCGTGGACGTCACCGCGCTCACGTTCCTCAGCGTCGTTCCACTATCCGCAAACTCGTCCTCTTCTTCCACAGGGAGGTGCATATTCCTGTACAACAATAAAGCGCACGCTTCCTGGATCGACGCAGCTAAGTTCGCGTTCAAAACGGCCCGCATCTTCTTGTTCCTTACCCGTCGAGAAGCATTCGTACTGCATACGAGGCTCGTGATAGTCTGGGTACTCGCACATCGTGATGATCCTGTCGCCCCACTCTTCCGCAGATTCGCCGTAGTTTCTCCTAGCGGCCTTGAGTCGGCTCCACAACTGGGCTGGCGTCTGAAAGATGAAGCGGTTGTGGAATCTCAAACGTGGCAGGGTTTCAAAATCGGTTGATCCTCGCATTTGTACCACCATTCCTGACCCAACTTGCCCTATCGAACGACGAACTGGCCAGCTCGAAAGGCTGCCAACCGCATTTGGTCGTCCATACCCGAGCGTACATTTCTCGAAGGAACGCCAGAACGCGACCGCTCTCTCATACGTGGTCGTCTCTGAGTAGAATGGAACGATAACTTTCACTGCGCTCCGCAATTCCGTCGGGATACTAATAATCGGAACGTCCCGCTGAGCGCCTCTCCCTGACCCGTGCGAGCCATTGCGGACTCCTTGGTCGTAGTACGGACTCGTTACTTGCCCTTGCGGAGGTACTGCGTTAGGTGCGTACCTTCCTCCCTGAGCACCCACGCTCCCTTTTTGTCCTAGCGCTCCTGCTCGTCCCTGGAACGTCGCCACATTCATAGGAGACGTTCTCTGGAACGGCAATCCGTACGTTCCGCTTCTGGGGCTGGTAGGTGTCAGCCGTGCAGACGCTGCAGACCACGCGGGGATCGTTCCAGCAGTAGCCCACCCAGGTGTCGACGTCATTGGCGGTTGGAAGGGAGGGTAGAATGCACTCCTTTGGGGCGTTCCACCACCTCCAGCGTTCCACGTGGATCCAGCCGTTGGAATTGACACACCTCCATACGAAGGATAGCCGCCATCGGCATTCGGCTAGGTGTCGAAACCGGCGTTTGATTCCTCATCCTCGGGGTCATAGGTCCTTGGTACCCCATCACTGAAGACGTCACTGGTCGGGTCGGCGTCGGCACGGTATGTGGCACGTGTCCTGTAGCTTGAGGTCTTGGAGACGGCACCGGCGTTCCATTCGTCACTCCAGCCCTCTGTAGCAATTGGGCGAGACCGTCCATGATGAGAGCCTGTAAGGCTGGGTCCGTCGTCGGCGTTCCACTTCCTCTCGTCGGCGTTCTCATCGATTGAATAGGCTTCGCTCCTCGACTTCCACCAGGTACGTACGCTCGCGTAGGTGTTCCAGCAACAACAGGTGTAACTCCTGGAGCACTTCTGCTTCCTTGTTGGCCTGGCACGCTGTTGTTGGGCTGTCCGTACGCTGACGTGACCAGGGGCGCGTCTCTTCTAGAGTTGTCCATCGGTTGCAAGGAGGGACGACTCCGATCCAAGGCGAACCCCAACTCGCGACGACCTCCCGAGTCCATCACCGAAGCGTCCAAGGGCGTACCCGTCGTCGTCCTTGCAGGCGTCGTTCCTTCGCTGGGCGCCGGTTGATGTGCCCACTGCTCAAGGACTGTGTTGGACATCTGTCCACCCTGAGGCGTTCCAGACACAGAATCAACCGTCCTTCTCGTCCTGGAGACGGAGACGCCACGTCGAACATGTCCTCGCCTTCCACGTGGACCGCTCTTGTCTTGTGCCTTCCTGTCTCGGGATCAGCTCGCTGCGGCATGCCACGTCCCCCGCCATCTCCCGGGCGTTCCCTTCCTTGAAGTCTCTGCGGCGTGCCGCCGTCAGCAGCTCTCTCAGCGCGCGCTTCCTCTTCCTCCTCAAGGATCCCCACGGGCTCCGTTTCCAACGGAGGAGCCCATCCTCCTACCCCTTCACTGACTCCAAGTCCCACGCCGGACCATCCTTGAGCACTCATCCATTTCCCACTTCTCTCTTCTTCTTCCTTGACACTCCGTTGTCAAGGCTTCTTTTCATGCTTGTACTCCTACAAAATTCGGCTAGAAGATACCCTGCTTCTCCACCAAATTGTCGCGGTCTTCCTCTTATCGGGGTCGTGAGTATCTTGGGCCGACGTAGGCGGTAGTAGTATTAGCGACGCTACTTGGGATAGTAATGTAAGAGTTGATATATTCTTGTGTTGTTTGTTAGAAGGAAATCCACTACTGACCTCCTCATTTCACCTCGCTAAGAGCTTTCAGAGCTCCTTACCTTTCCGCAGATCCCTCGTGTGTGGCGGTCCAGCTCCAGTTCCCGCCACGACCAGCTGCTTCACGACCTCACACTTGGAACGTCACTGTCTTGGTCGTAGGTCCAGCTTGCTTGGACGTGGTCCGGAGAGTCTGGAGTGAGTAGACCTTCTGCAGGCAGTCAGCCAGCATCCTTAATCCACCATCTAACTGTACACCGTGACAGCTGGGACAAGAATGAAGATTCTGAGTGGTACACGACACGAACTAAATCTATCGGTTTGACGGGATTTTTTGTGGGAGTAATATCAGTTGCATAAATTTCAGTTTTGTTTGGTCGTCCTCAGTCCTATTCCTGTAGACTGTGTGAGGGAATCGGAAAAGGGCATTGCGAAACCTCTCTACACTCCTGGACACAATTATACGGCCACCTCGTCGAGTGCCCATAACTCAGTCAATTTTTATTATTTGACGGGGCGGTTTTCACACAAGTTGCAAAACATGCTTCAAAATAGCAAGGATGTGCTAACGCTCGCGGTTTTGCACTTTATAGGGAGGCTCACATACAAAAAAGAGATTTGTCAGGCTGGACACAATTTACGGCCACCATCGGCCCAATACAAAAACCTATATAAAATAAAACATATGTCATTTTGGCTGACTAGAAATTTGTATGGACTGAGTTACTAAGGGCGATTGAATGGACACTAGGGATCGAGAGCTCAAAGTAGTTGCATGGGCGTGTACACAATACTGTTATATGTAACGTGTTGTACTCGCACCTCTGCTTGATCGATATTGATGGAGAACTTTTAGCTAGTGTCAATAGGCCCATCCGCATTTTTTTTACTGTAGCAGATCATATGGAGAACACCGTGTAGTCGTCGCGATCTTACATTTAAAAATTCTCCATCAATATCGATCAAGCAGAGGTGCGAGTACAACACGTTACATATAACAGTATTGTGTACACGCCCATGCAACTACTTTGAGCTCTCGATCCCTAGTGTCCATTCAATCGCCCTTAGTAACTCAGTCCATACAAATTTCTAGTCAGCCAAAATGACATATGTTTTATTTTATATAGGTTTTCGTATTGGGCCGATGGTGGCCGTAAATTGTGTCCAGCCTGACAAATCTCTTTTTTGTATGTGAGCCTCCCTATAAAGTGCAAAACCGCGAGCGTTAGCACATCCTTGCTATTTTGAAGCATGTTTTGCAACTTGTGTGAAAACCGCCCCGTCAAATAATAAAAATTGACTGAGTTATGGGCTCGACGAGGTGGCCGTATAATTGTGTCCAGGAGTGTATTAAGTTAATACTATTAACTGCTTGACTTCGTACCCCGATTCTGTATTCCTGTGTGAAGGTAATCCAAGAGAAGGGATTTCCGAAGGGTTCATCTGATCTAGTACTGTTGTACTGGCTTATGGTAACTCCTCGCTGCAGTAACGCGTCCATCTCCCTATATCGAGCCTCTTTGGCAAAAAAGAGGCTTTGCCCAGACGTGATTTCGATGCTACGAGTGCGACGTTTTGCTGTGGGGCCAACAACTGTTGTTGGCCCCACAGCAAAACGTCGCACAGTTACTGTACGCTCGCAATCGTCAGTGGTAAATGTACTTACAGAAAAAAAACCGAGTCGCATGCATGTGCTGTCCTTCTATTAATATCGCCGGGGCGTTCCCTTTTACATGAAGCTGGAACGGGTTTCAGCTTCACCTAGTGAAGCTTCACCCCAAGTGAAGTCTGCCCTGACGACTGTATTAATAGGCCATCTTCACCACTTGTTTCAATTCGTAGTCAGAACGCGTATCGCACAGCAAGTGGTATCATACAACTTGAAGTAAATTGCAGGTGCATACCGGTGCCAGAAAAAAAAAACCTTTGAAATAAAGGGAGAAGCCGTTTACAATCCGTCAATCCGTTGGCTGTTTGTTGCAAACAGACGAGGACAGTCTCGGTTGGTGAAAGTTTCTGACATACGCCTCTACATACAAGTACCGTATTCGGCTGAGTATTGTAATCAAGGTACGCTAGAACAAATATAACGCTTATCATTAGATTAAAGTCAACAAAGAATCTTGATTGACTTTTACAAATCATTTTATATTGGAAATAGTTAATCAAATCCAGCTTGCGGCAATCACTGCCACACGTGCCAATGGCGCACTGCTATGATGCCAATCGTCTGTGCGGAGCTTCCTGTGGGCTGGGCCCGACGTTGCTCTACTCTGTCTAACACCAGAAGCCGTGAGGAGTCACTATTCATTTCCTCTGCAAGGCGTCACAGGCTCTGCGGAGATTTACCTCGCCACCCAGTAGATTCGCTCACTAACCTTCAATATGAAGCTCTTCCTGCCCACCCTCGTCGCCTCCGTGGTGCTCATGCTTAGCGGTGGTGCTGACGCTCTGAACGTAAAAATGCCCGGCGCCAACTATAACTCGCGCAAGGGTCCGGATTGGGCTGCTGACAGCGCCAAGTGCAAGACCGCGTCCGAAGTGCAGAAAGACATGTACGCCTTGAAGGGTATCACTGACAAGGTTCGCATCTATTCGCTGGTGGACTGCAATCAAGCCGAACTCGTTCTCCCGGCTGCCAAGAATGCAGGACTGAAGGTGCACCTAGGTGTCTGGACGACCAAGAGCCACGATTACCTTCTTCAGGAGAAGGCCAAGCTGGTTAGTCTCATTGATTCGGGTCTGTACGACGACAACGTCATTGGTCTTCACGTGGGAAGTGAGACCATTTACCGCAAGGAAATTAACGCAGACACCGCCATCAGCTACATGAAGGAAATCCGCGACTACATCCGCGGTCGTGGCAAGAACACGCCCGTCAGTATCGCCGATGTTATTGACATCTATAACGCCAACCAACAGCTCATTGATGCGGTGGATTACGTCTCTGTCAACCAGTTCTCCTTCTGGGAACGCGCTGATTTCAACGAAGGTGCTGCCATCACCCTCGATCGCCTCAAGAACCTGCGTGTGGCTGCTGCCAACAAGGGCAAGAAGGTCGTCATCTCGGAGACGGGCTGGAGTTCTGGTGGCTCGGATCCTGCTGCCGGCGTCGCTTCGCCTGAAAACCAGGCCAAATTTTTCTCGGACTTCTACCAGATGGCTCGTTCCCACGACTTCGACTACTACTGGTACGTCGCGTTCGACTCCAAATGGCGAGTCACGAATGGTGGCAAGGAGGTTGAAGCCGATTTCGGCATTTTCCAGGAGGATGATGTCATGAAGAGCAACTTCCAGCAGCTCACTATCGGGTGGAAGGATCCCCGTGCTATCCGAAACGCTGGCACCAACTTACTACTGTCCGAAAAAGACGGCAACGTGTACATGTCGAGCAAGTCTTCCGACTGGCTCGTTCAGGAGCAGCAGGTGTGGTTCTTCGACTCGGCTACTCAGCAAGTCCGCTCCAAGAGCAGTGACCGCTGCCTGGACGCCTACCAGGCTTGGGACGGTGGTATTGTGCACGTGTTCCGTTGCTTGGATAATGAGGCCAACCAGAAGTGGACATTGGAAAGCGAGACTGGCAAGCTGAAGCATGCGAGACATCAGGGCTTCTGTCTGGACACTGACCCTGCACAGGGCAACAAACTGCAGCTGTATGGATGCTCGCCAAACAACCCGAACCAAAAGTGGAGCATTATTGACCCCGCCACCATCTAAGTTTGCGAACGTGTCTCCTGCTTTGTCGAGTTAACGTTAACTCTAAATTCAAAATTAGAGCTGGACGTGCTTGCGTGTTCGTTCTCGTCGTGTTGGTTAGAGATTTCCAAACAGGTGTGTCCAAATTGGACAATACTAAAGCTAAAAAGAGAAAAGATTAAGATGCGACAACTCATGATCCTAAAGAGAACCGTCCCTAAATGTTAACGCCATTTTGAGGTTTTTGAAAAGCAAACTCTGGCAGCCAGCGGGGGCGACAGAGACACCAAAAACAAGTTGTAGGTGTGGGACACTAAAGAGATAGCTTTGCAGGACACAATAGTCAGCACCTGTCTCAGCGCTGTATCGAAATGACTGTACCAAACACATTTCTTCGTGAGGTCCATTTTTTTTCATGCGAACTTCTTTTCAATCGCTTTTTAAGCATCTTTTCCATGGACGATAATTGAAGTCGTATACTCTCTTGGTGTTTGCCGGTGGCACGTCTCACCATAACTGGTAAAATAGTGATGAAGAAAACCTTAGTTAAAAGTTAAGGACAAGCGAAATTATTCTCAAAAAGCGACTTTAGCGTGCATAACTACGTAAAAAATGTCTCAACGTTAACGTCGCTTTAACTACTTCGCATCACCAATATTATATCGTTCCAAAATATCGACTGAGTTACAGCCTGTAACTTACAGGTAGCATTAGGAGACCGGTAAGAAACCTTCAGTCCACCGAAGCCTTTGTCAACTGTCGTCTGTGGATCGATGCCGTAATACTTGTTGTTGAATTAAGCATTCATGTTTTAGCACAATGAAATGCCTTTGCATTTGCCTCGTTTGTAGTACTACAGCGGGTGCAGGAAGTCAAGATACTCCTACCAACTTGATTTACTAATGGAGCTCCTGATGTCATTTTTTTCTCCGTGTAAGGCAAGCGTTTGAGGGAATTGTTTGGGAATAACGTCTGTGCCATCTGATTGGCATTTTATTGAGCTTATTTTTACCAATCAGCATTAGACTGCGCAAGAATTGAAGACAGCCCTGCGTAGTTTGTGGAATTTAATATTGGACGTTGCACGAATGTTACTTCAATTGGAATAGGGATTGTACCGGTTGCCGTGAAGGCACACGATATGACGGCTATTACGGCTCATAGCGAAGTAGTTTAAGACCATTATTTAACAATTGACATGCGCGCACGGAAGCTTATCACAAAGGCCAGTTGGTCAGAAATCGGGTGTCAATTGTAGGTGTCGTCAAATCAATTTTATTTGACTTGATGTTTGTAGTGGAGCATGGATTGTACCCCGAATACGAGCGAGTGCGCTCAAATATGTTTGCATCTGCCACGAGTTAAGATGCGCGCCAAGGTGGCATCATGCAGTAGCAAGCAAGAAACAACGTCATGTAGCAGTCGATCCTTGCAGGAGCATCAAAGTGTACTTCACATTAGACGGTGTCAGATGACCTGCAAATCATACAAAATTATCGGCGCGTTTGTGGGTGGCTTCAATTTCTACGCAGGTGTCTTCCATCTAGCCGGAAGGAGCGCATCAAGAGTCGAAAGGGCCTGCCCGGTGCCCACTAGGAGAATAGCGCTAGCATTTATCGATTGGGCTGTTAAGGAATGTGACGGGGTCACACAGCACCTTGCACAGAGGAAGTGCTTAAGGGTATTAACTACCCGAGTGAACGTTAGTCCACGTGTTCCCGGCCTCAAAGGGAACGGTTCTACTTAGAAGAGTAGATTTAAGACTGATGTATTTATAAGTAAGAAAAGCTTGGGTCTCATACAAACTAGAGGTTCCCTATAGTGGAGCTAAGTAGTCATGCACTGACTGGCTCCGAGAGCACCTGGTACCGTGTACCAGGTGTCCACAAGAGTGACGGGTCACTCTTTATGTAACATGGAGCACCCTGGATTGTACCCCGTTACATCCTCCCGCACTTAACTGAGAATCTCCTGATTCTCCAATCAGAAGTGAGAGAATTAAAACACCAAAAGGTGAATTCTCACACTGAGCAGCCACGAGACTGGCGCGGCTCTCAGCCACACCCACAGTGGCTTGTGCTGCCAAATCTCACTGGGATTTGCATCCCTATGCTCACAACTGTGTTGGCCGCAAAGCCTACACTCAGAGCTGCCTTAGTTCCTGCGCTAGCACGCGTACAGGGCTTTGGCACAGGGTGCAATAGTATCCGAACGTGTGGCATTCGCCCACAGCTCGCGCCAGAGGACACGACAGGCCTCGCGAACGCGTCCGGAGCATGGTGTCTCCCGCGAGGGACGACACCGAGAAGGGCAACACCTTCCCCAGCACTAGAGGGAGCTCTCAGCCCACCTCGGGCCATGCCTTTGGCTCCAGCAAGGATCCATCCTTGCGGGCGGAGCTTCTGCCACGCTCTCTTCGCGTCTTGGTCACCATACCAACGCTGCGTAGGTGTCCTTCATCGACACCGTGTACCGTGACGGTACACAACCGTGGTGTAGGTGTCTCCCATCGACACCATGTACCGTACGGTACTAACCTTTGGTGCGGTACGCCCACCACAAGGATGCCATGTTTGGCGGCAACAGCTTCTGCTGTGCTGTCGCCTGAACAAATTCATGGCCAGTGCTCACATCATGCACGACGCATGTGCAAGCACAGTGTACAGGTCCATGGACCCGTACACGAGGTACGCTGTGTACGTCACGTACCACAGCTACCATACGTGCTCCGTGCAGGGCATGTGTGCCATGCACGACGAGTTCATTACGTGGAACTCCTGGCAGGCTGCTCGACGGCAGCCAGTGCTGATGCACGGTACGTGCGTTGACTCACAGCGTACAGAGCGCATCGGGTCGTGGTATGGTGCATTTCCTTTGCACCTATACCAGTGTCTGTCACAGACACCATGTACCTTGATGGTACTCTACCGTGGTGGGGCATATCTTACCTCCATGCCGCTGCGGCGTTGGTGTCTGACATTGACACCGAGTACTCACGGGTACCAACCCATGGTGAGGCAAGCTGCCATCACCACGGTGTCATGCTCGGCGCGGCACTAGTTACGACTGCGTGCCTTGCCTCGACCACCACCTGGTCAGTTGTGTGTGCACTCGTGCACCGCACTTGGTTTATGGCTCCACGGCCCATTATACCCGGCGCGTTGCGTACATCACGTACCGCAACCGCTTTGTCGGCGGGTGAGACGCTCCGTTCACCCTACTAGACAGGTCGCTCATGACCAAGGGACCAGTGCGTTGATTGCACTAGGCCCGCGCTTCGCCTCGTGTGTGGTTGCTTGTACCCCCAACATTGCTGATTTGCTCAGCGATTCCTGGCGCCAGTGGCTTTCTTCGTCACTATGTCTTGTTCGGCTAGAGCTACCGCAGCTCTAGCCCGGCTCTTCGCCTCCAGCCTGCAGTCGATGTACATCGACGCCTGGTTCCGTAAGGAACTTGGTGTTACCTCAAGACCAGGGAGGAAAGGTATTTCCGAGCCTCTCCCCCACTTACACTTGAGACTATTGAGTCTCTCGTGGCTTGTGATAGCCACTGGCAGCACGACGGCCACCTGCCTCGTGGAAAGTGAGGGAGGAAAGGTATTTCCGAGTCTCTCCTCCACTTAGCCTCGCGCCTACTGAGTCTCTCGTGGCTTCTGATAGCCACTGGCAGGTGCGACGGCTCTCCACCCTGTGCACTGCGTAGGTATGGACGACCGCGTCGGCCGTGTCGACCGAAGGCACCCAGCCTTCGCGTCAGCAGTTTGAGTCTGCGCGACTTGACGTCGAGCGAGTTGCTCACGTCTGGCGAGGCCAAGACAGCCTCGTGCCTCGAGCCAATGGCTCTGTGTGCGGAGCTATGTTACCCGCCTTGGGTGTGGAACTCTGTTACCCACCTTGGTTGTGTGGAACTCTGTTACCCACACCGGAAGCGCATACAGCGACTTCCTTATCAGTTATGGTCTGAGTGACCTTGCGTGGAACTTTGTTACCCACGCTCGGAGCACCGAATGTCGGTCTCCTTAAGCAGCTTCGCTGCTTGCGGAACTTGTTACCCGCAATGTGGACCTAAGTTACCCACCTGGTGAATGCCCTTCGGCACCACCACTCTCGAAGCGCATACGGCGCGACGACCTTCGGTGTTGGGATCAGCTGACGTGGCAGATCCGCACACACACCGGACAGAGTTGGTGTCCACCGACCGAGTCAGAGGAGTCCGGGCCCTGGACTTGAAGCGACGTCGGCCTGAACAAGGTTCAGACCCGACTTGAGGCGATTAACGTGACGTGGCACTTTGCTACCCACGTCGTGATGTCTCATTGACGACATCAGAGGCACTCGAGACCTCGTGTGGCACTGTGTTACCCACACAGGAAGCATAGACAATGCCTTCCTCTTCAGTTATAGTCTGGGCGACTGCGTGTGGTACTGTGTTACCCACACAAGAAGCATGGTCATGCCTTCCTCTTCAGTTATAGTCTGGGCGACTGCGTGTGGTACTTGTTATCCACACAGGAAGCGCACTCAGCGCCTTCCTCTTCAGTTAAGGTCTGGGCGACCGTGTGGTCCTAAGCTACCCACCTGGTTAGCGCTTAAAGGCATAACCACTGTCGAAGCCCGTACGGCGCGACGACCTTCGGCGTTGGACGCTGCTGGTGTAGCAGGTCCACACTCCGGGCAAAAGACCCACGCCCGTGGCATTGCCGCAGCGGAGCATGGTCTTGCTGTACGCAGAGCTGTCGGCGCGCTGACAGCTCCGTGACGCTTCTGCGTCCTGGCGATCTGTATCAGACGCCCCAGTCATGACGGAGGTGGGACCATGACTCACCAATGCTCCGTCATAGACCTGGACTGGTAGGTCCTTCTCAGCCTTGCCACACCAAAGTCCGGGCTGTGCCTTATGTTCGGCACAGCCATGTTGTTCATGGCGAGAACTGCGAGCGACACCGCGGTGCGCGAGCTCATCGAGCCGAAACGTTCAGGTCCAATGAGAGCAATTGGTAGTTCCTTCACCGTACCAAAGGC